AAGTATTTCGTACTTAAATGCTTTGATTTTCCAAACAATAAAACTAGTTTTTAAATTTCTTTCTTATACCCAGAACCAATCGAAAATGGTTAAATAGAATATTATATTTTGTACAAAAATATGTAACACAGGCAAAAGAAAGCATTTTCGAATCCCTAAGGTTTATATACTCTTGGTGAGAACGACGAGTTGACTTTCATATCTGTCTGTGCCTTTTTGTGAAAATAATATTCGATAAAAGTTGAGTACACCAAATTCGTATATACAGATGAAAAGTATATTACTTGTAGGTCACCTGCCTCATTTTCAGACTAAATTGAAAAGAAAAACATATTTTTAAATGCGATTTAATTACATACTCTGTTTTGCTATCTTTAAGCCATGAGTATTTCATTGAGATCGGACAATATGCACCGACGCTGTCGAAGAATACTTTGCGCAATTCCAAGTTGGAGCACTTCCTTTTGTTTAGGGAATGAAAATAAGTTATATGCTTGATTTGTGCTTTATCTAAAGGAGTTAATTTAAATTAAGACTAAGAAATAAATTCAAATATCGGTTTAATAATTCAAATCTCTCTACTGAGATGTAAGAGATATCTATAAACTGATCGCTCGCAGATGAGAAATCTTCAGTTTCAGAATAATCCTAATTTCCTAAAAGTCTTAATACAGTTTTTGTCCTGTATTATCTGACAACCATAAGGTTCATGTGCTTATTGAGTCGCAGCAACAAAATAGATATAAATTGACAAAAAAGAAGTGTACATCTGTTCGTTTGCATGCAGCTCGATTGCGCGCAACTTAGTTGCACCACAAAGATTAACACATCATGGACGTAAATGTCAGTTGCAATCATTTGGCCCTAAATTTCGAAAAGCATTGGATCTGCGGGGAAGCCACCCAACGAGCATAAAACTGCAGGATTTGCCAAACATTAAACGCGAACATTAACGAGCTCGACAGTCGGAGGAAGAGTTCTGGGACAAATCGTAAACACTGTAGAACCGAGTTCCGAGTGCCTTATTTATAGATCGACAAACCCCTGCGGCAGGGCTATTAACATTATGAAAGGGGGAGGAGTTGGTGGGGGGGGGGGGGACATGGAAGTCTAGCGAGCAACATGAACGCCCGCGCGGTTTAATTGTTTAAATTTTATGCACGATTTAATTTAAAATATGTTTTATTAAAGAGCCACTTAAGGCTGAGCTAGCCGCTGGGTGGGTTTTTATGGCAGTTCTAATGGATTTCCATGATATCTATAATTCCGATGATGAATTTTAATTGATGACAGCGCATATTTCGGCTACCATTTGCCTGCTTTCTAGGTTAACGAGGCCTTCGAGATCTTGAAGCGTCGCACATCATCCAATCCCAATCAGCGCCTGCCCAAGGTTGAGATCTTGCGCAATGCCATCGAATACATTGAGAGTCTCGAGGATCTATTGCAGGTGGGCAGCATTTTGTTTCCTACTTTTGTCAGTTTGTTTTTTTTTTTTTTTTCAGTTATTAACTCTGATGCGTTTTGTTTGTTTTAGGAATCCACACCCACACGCGATGGCGACAATCTGGCGCCCAGTTTAAGCGGCAAGAGCTGCCAGTCCGATTATCTGGTAAGTTTTTGCTGAACGCCAATTAATATTAAAGGCAATGGCAAACGTTCCGCAATTATTTTCTCGTAAAAACCTCATGCATGAAAAACATTTTCGTACATTTTTCTTTGGGTGACGCGCACATTCATCAAAATCTCAGTGTCTGCCCGAGAGAGCTTGCCGCTACGTGAAAATAGAATAACATGACTCTTGCGTTTAGCTTCAGCTACCCATTCACCAGATCTCAGAGCCCATGCCCCCAAAATATCTCCTAGCCATATCCATACTGCGACATCGACACAATTTGCTGCCCAACAATTTATGCGCTCGCTGACGTGCAGCTTAGTAAGCTTCTTCCTCGCCCGGGAAAGGGGCTGGCTTCAAGGGGAGAATTATGAGTTATGATTGCCTCAAGAACTGGCTCCCCAATTGCCCAAAAAGCCCAGCAGAAAAAACTGGTCCAAAAATTAACACACACCAAATTGAAATGGGCGCAGAATTTATTTATATTAAGTTGAAGGCGGGGGGGCTTCGGTCTGCATTTAGTAAAATTCAATAAATAAATTTTCCCACTAAATATGGGGTGGGTGTGCCAAAGTCTAAACTATAAACGAGAAACGTGTTGTAAATTAATTATTACAAATTCGAGCGCTATGCCAGGCAGCTTTTCATGTGATAAAACTTGAGCGACATTTGAATGTTCTTGCCTAAAGAGGGGCTCTCTCTCACTCTCTCAATACCATTTCACAAGATATGTTCGTGTCGAGAAAGGGAAATGTGTCAGTTGACAAATTGCACAGGAAAAACATGACAAGATCGGAGCACTGTTCCCCGAAAGGTGTTGCAAGACATGGCCAGCCAAGAGGCCCGATGTGACAGCAAAACAAATTGTCAACAATTATGCGAACATTTTTGCAATAGCCGCCGTCTATATATTTTATGGATGCCCGATCGCAAGCACTTGGGCCACACTCTGCTGAGTAATTTCCATGCAGTTTGTTTGAGTTTTTCAAATTTTAATGTACAAATTTGTTAATTTACCATAAAACCTTGCATATTTGTACATACGCCGACAGTACGCGCCCTCAATGGCAGATATTAATGCGCGTCCATAGTTTGATTAAAAACTGGCGAAATGCCAGCCTGCCAGACATTAAAATGCATCCCAGCCACAGCCTGACAATCCATCCATCCATTCCATTGGGGTAGCAACTGCAAGCTGGGGGAATTGTGCAAACTGGAAATATATTTTTAAATATCAACGTACAAATTGCAAAGCGTTGATAACGAATGTCTCATAAATAAACCTAACAAATACATTCGCTGTGCACTTAAATACATTTGTATAAATTTGTGGCTATTGTAAGCCGTGTCCGTGTCTGAATACCCTCAAATTGCATGGTTCGTATAGCTTGGAAAGAGAGCGATTCTCACTTTATTCCTAGTAGCTCGATCGATTTTAATTGATTTGCCGTGTCCATTTGCATTTGTTGCTATTTTCGTACGCCCGCAATAAACCATATTATAATCATATATTTTATTATACATAAACCTTTAAACTTGAACAAAGGCACACCTGGCGACTGTGCCAGGCCTTCTATCAAACAATTCCCACCATATCAGTCGAGTAGACACTTCAAACGTAATCACATAAGTTCGTATTCGGTGCCATCAATAAATTTGGCCCAGTATAAACATTTTAGGTGCAAATGACTCATGCCGCGGAATATGTGAGTTTATCGTTTGGCCGCAAAACGGAAGTGAACTTTAACTATCTATGTTGTCTTATCTATGGCTCGACTTTAGTTCAATCAATTATTGTCTAACAAATTTTTGTTGTTAAAATAAAAGCAAAAAGAAATTGCAAGGTCGTTAATATGTGGTTAATATATGCTTAAACAATTTATAATAAAAATGCCTACAGACAGCATAATGCCGCATATCCGTTACAATTGAAAAGTCTCTGCCTCTCCTCCGATCTGAGTGGAGTCCACTTCCAAGGAACACGCGCCAAAAGGCGGCTTAAGATCTTTGCGCAACTCATAAATGCTTAGCGAGTGATAAGTGGCATTTCATTCAGATATTAACATGCTTACATATACTATATGCCTATGCTGTCTGCGCCAAGTCAAATAAAAGAAAAGAAATAAAAATAAAAATAAAATAAAATATATATACTTTATGTATATGTGTGTCGCTTATATCGAGCGCACGCTGTCAGTAAACGCTCGGGAAATGATAAATCGCTTTATAAAAGTGCAGCCGCGAGTTGTTGTGTTCGGCGTTTTGTTCTTTGCCTGTTCGGCTGCTGTTCTTTGCTGGGTGTTGTTCTCATGTCATACTGTGCCTAAAAATAACAAACACGTCCAATGACTGCCCCAGCCCCGCCTAATACCAGCCACAGCCACTGGCATCGATCCTTGCAGACGCTGCGACGGCAACACGCTCGCCAAACTGCAGTTGGGAACCCACCCAGAATTGGCAATTATAATTTTCCTGGCCAGGGCGTTAAGGCGAGCGAAATTTTCTAATGAAATCTGCGCAAATCTCCGTTCATGTAGGAGCTGCTGCTCCAACTGCTCCAACTGCTCCTGCTTGCCCACTTCTGTCGTCTGCGAATGCGCAAATTAATTTAATTGCTAATAAGTGGCCCCGCGATTCCTGAGTTCTTGGGACAATGCTTGTGGCTCCGGCAGCAGCGGTTCAATGCATTTTAATTGGCTGCTTTGTGGAATCCCTGGCAACCAGTCGCACACATTTCGGGTTAATCTCATTATTAGAGCGCGTTTTCTATGGCATTCGGACACAGACATTTCTGACATTGTCATTTGGGGCGACACTTTAGCTGTTTTTCTATTTTTTGGCTGTAATTTATTGTTTCGCGTATTTTGTGGCAGCTCGACAAAGTTGCACGCAATATTGCAGCTAAGTATCTCATGGATGCGTTTCAATTTCAATTGCAGAGCTCCTATGCGGGCGCGTATCTGGAGGATAAGCTAATCTTTTACAACAAACATATGGAGAAATATGGCCAGTTTGCAGGTAATATATCAACTGGTAATGGGCTATTCGCTTAACCCTAATCGATGTATGCAATTCTTGGCAGATTTCGATGGCAGCGCCAGTGCGAGTGGCTCCAGCTTGGATTGCCTGAATCTCATTGTCCAAAGCATCAACAAGAGCACAACGAACGCCGTTCAAATGCAAGCCACCGCCAGCAAAACCAGCGCCCCAATCTCATCCAGCAGCACGCCGCCGGCGAAAGGCAGCGGGTCGACGCTTCACGCGAACTTCAAGCAAAAATGTAGCACCTAGCACTGAGTGACATTCAGCCAAACTAGTTAATTGTAAAGTTAGGTTTAAGTGCCAGCCAAAGGATACGAGCTATACCCAAAAAGGACACACCAAATAACAGTGAACGTGTAGAACTAGTTTAGTAATTTTCTTTTTAGCTTTAGCAACTACTTAAATAAACACTAAGAATAAAGCAGACAAGCGAGCGCACATTTCAGTCCACTTCCAGCTTGCGAAAGGAGCCGCTGGTGCCGCCCAGTTCGCCGGTGGCCCAGGCATTGGCCAGTCCGACGCGCAGTTTCTCGTTTGTGCCATATTGAGCATCTTCGTCAAAGTAATCCTTGTGCGCCTGCAGCTTTTGACGCCAGTAGTCCAGGGCCTCCGCCTGGTAGCCATTGCTGCCGCCATACTCGATGGTCATCGCCTCGGGCGGCAGATGCTTGTACAAATCCTCGGATTTCTTGTGCACGACAAACTATTCGGAATAATCAAGGGGATTAAGAGCAGCTCTATGCTTAAGTGAGCCGGACTACGCACCTTCCAGGGCAGCTTGGCTGGCAAAAAGCTGGTGACAAAATTAAAGATGGTCTGACCGGAGGGTATCATGTTCACCAAGTGAATCTCTGCGAAACGCAGCGGCAAACACTGATCCACCAGCATAAAGGTTTTCTTCAGCAGAAATGGATCATATTGCATCATTTGTTCCATGTTGACATCACGTGCGTCCACCACAAAGAATAGACCCGCAACAGATGCATTATCGCACTCCAATGCAAGCAGCTCCAGCAGCATGAAGAGCAACTTGAAGGCTTCGCGGGGATTCGATTGCTTCGGATCGATCTTACAGAACTGTGAGATGATAACACGTGGTCCTTGCGGGCTCGCTGGTCGTGCGGGTATAACATGGATACTAAGATGGGTTCAGTTATTTATATAAATGTAGAGCATAAAAGAAAGGTTGGGACTTACCCGCGATCAAACTGACGTAAGAGCGCCTCGTCCACTTGCCGCGAGCAGAGCACCTCGGGAAAGGCATTGCGCAGGGAATAGTAATTGTCAATGCGTCTCTTGGTCTCCTCGACACTGAAACGACAACGTCGCAGAAAAGCCAATATCAGTCGCTCATCCGTGCGCGCCTTCAGATACGGCGATTTGCCAATCCACGTCTGCAGTGTGGCTATCAATGCCTCGCGCTCCGCCTGCTGCTCATTGCACTCGGACAGGGCGAGCGCCGAGAGTTCCGGTGCCAGGGTTCGCAGTCCGGCCATGTTAGCGCTCTGATAGCTGCAACTCGAATGCCGAATGGCTGACGCCCAGTGAGTGAGTAGCTTGGGCGGGCTATCTAATCAGCAATAGCGACCTGGTAATAGCTGGAACGCTCGCTGTTAGATATCCAGCGAGAGATATATGAATGTATATACATGTGTACTTGGCGATAAGCGAATTAAGCGATATACTGTTTATCTATGCGGGGTACACAAATTTAATTGATCGACTACAGCAGAGCTTTGACTTAACCATACGGTTGGACTGGACAGGGTCACTGTCAATCCCAGTTCAGCCTGCGAAAGGAGCCATTGACACCAAACTCGGCCTCGTACATGGCTACCTCGCCCGGTCGCAGCTCCTCAACGGTGCCATACTTGTACTCCTGCTCAAAGTAGCCACGATAGCTGTTCAGCAAATCCTCCATATAGGCAACGCTCTCGGCCATGTGGCCATTGGTGCCGCCATATTCCTCGGGCAGGCTGGCCTTGCCGATGTGATCAAAGAGCTCCTCGCTGTTTTTCAGCACGCGTATCTGCGATTCAAATCACGATTAGCTGGACGATAGAAGGTCATTCGAGTGTGCTCACCGGATAGTTGACCTGCATGCTGAGCACATTGTAGAGAAACATAATGGGGCCTTGTATGTCCTTGGGCATATTGATGACATACACTTCCTTGATTCTCAGTGGACTGCAGTCGTGCAGCCAGTTCCACCATTTGCGAAAGAATTGCTTATCGAAGCGGCGCATCCCATCCGAAGTGACGCCCTCCAAATCGATAATCTCACAAATGCCCGCCACAGATGCGTAATCATTCTCCAGCGCAACAATTTCCATCGCCATGGACGTAAAATGATATATCTCGCGCAGACTATACTGGTTGGGATCAAGCTTGCCGAAACGTGCTATGAACAGGGCGGTCCGGTTGTCACACTTGGGCAAGTCCGGATACAGGCAGATCCTAAAATGTCAACAGGCTACATGATGTGATGTGATGCCTCGCCGGCTACTTACCCCAATCGATTGATATCCAGCAGTCGCTGTGTGATATAGCGATTGCTCATAATTTCTGGAAAGAGATTATAGTAGGTGAAGTAACGGTCCAGGCGCCGCTTGGTCTCCTCCAGGCTATAGCGGCAACGGCGCAGAAACGCGATCAGAAAGTCGTCCTCGGTGCGGGCGCGCAAATGTGGCTGCTGGCGTATCCAGACGCGCAATATGATGATGTCCTGCTGTATCCTGTCGGGCGTCTCGTTCAGCTCCTGCTCGGCCAGCTTTGCTAGCGTTGGTGACAACGGACGTCGCATCTTGTTGCTGGCTATAATGCTTATGATTCCTGTTAATTGGGCCACGGCTGGCCCGATTGATTGGCTAATTTGATTATCTTATCAGGCAAATAGTTGGGAAAATACGACCTATCATTTGGCAAAATAATATACAAATCTGCCTGGAACAGCTCTCACTGACAAATGTGTATGCATGTGTGTGTGTGTGTATTTACTATGGGGTAATATTGTGTATGTATATCGAATAGTCACATCCGGCGCCTTTGTCCCGCGGGCCACTTAAGTGCACCCCCCCCCGACCCATTACCATGGGCGCTCTGAAATGTGATCGCCGTTTTATGCTTGAAATAAATCTGACGCTAAATAGTATCCAGCCTGTGTGTGTGCGTTTGTTTTGAGCATTCAATTTGAGTGCCCGTCACAGAGACACGACATGTGTAGGAGGTGCTGATGAGCGGAGCACCTACCTTCAGTACAGCAAATTGCTCTGACATGGCGCTGTCAGCTGTTGACAGGCACACGACGTGGACGCGGACGTGGACGTGAACGTGGCGAGACTGCCTGGAAGCGGATCAACTACTTAGCTGGAGTTGCCGCTTCTTCGGCCATACTCCAATAACTCATAACACATTATGGGTGGGTTGCGCACCCTGGGAAATGGTAGTGCGCTTTGATCTTCTCCTGACGAGTGCAGCGCGTGTAAATGCCCCGACTGCATTCTTATTGCTTATGACACAAACATATCGCTGCCATATTCATAATGAGCCTCATTAACTTCATGCACTGCAAACACCACAAGAACAACAACTTCAACTACATCACCTTAAAGAAGCACTCAACACTCTCGCTGGCACATCCCACAGGGCCTTTGGTATTGGCTGTTCAGAAAAGGAAAGTAAACAAGTCGGACGTGCTCGACTTATAGATACCCTGAAACCAGTGTGGAGCTGCGAGCTACGCTTCGAGATAAGCTGGAAAAACCAAATATGATGATCGATACTTATCGATCTAGTGGAAACTCGGCTGAGCTATCGATTATCTTGATTTGAACGGGCAATAGGAATGGGAATCCCTGTTGTCTGCTTAATATCATTTCATAGTGTGGATCTTGTTTTTCAATTATACACGAACCTTTTTCCTTTTCTACTTAGAGTCAGATAAATATATAATAATGAATGGAGAGGATCGACTCCCCTGAGTCAAAAGTAATCTATCATTGCACTATCAATCTAACGTTGATATCGACACGAATTGAAGCAGAGCAGAAATAACATTTTTTGTTTTGATAGGAAATAAAATAAAATTGCTAGCTCTAGTTGACTGATCAAAAGTCTTTTGTACAAATAATTTTAAATTTTCATCTGAGCCTAATAATTGAGAGGCGACTACGCGGATAGACCGACAGACTCTACACACAGTCAATATGCTCTATTTACCCTTTTGTGGCAAGAAGTATACAAAAAAAAAAGGGGGCGTGGATGTGGCATGTAATTGACACGCTGCTGCCTGATAAGTGTATTTTGTTGTAAGCACTTGAAAGTATTTCCCAAGACGCATTGACATGCTGTTGCCACTTGCCACTTGCCACTGCAACATGTAATGAACGCATTCAATTTACCCCAATATAGCCCAGACTTTAAGCTGGGCATCAATGAGAAATGGCTGCGCTTATCCCCAAAACATTTTCATCATTTGTTGTGCATTTAATATTAAAAGTATCTTTTATTCTTAAATTATTGCCAAAAAGATGCTCTGCGGCGCACTCATTGGTCATACAGAAATTATGAATATTTCATGTTTAATTTATAGATTTACATAAAACGCCCCATTTTGTCGGGGCCAGATGCATATATACTAGATGCAGCAAATGCATGTGCTGTGCGCTCAATTGACAATCATATTTATATATATTTATAGTAAGAAAAAAAAAATTAAGATGAACATTTTATTTGAAGAAAAACTTAAGAAAATATTTATACGAACGATGTTTTCGGTTGGTCGTTGTCGCCGCTCGACTGCCAGTTGTCACTCAACTTGATCCGAAATTTCGTTTATACTTGCCGTGCCACCTACCCATGCCCCAGACTAGACTGAGACGGGGCGGTGCGGCGGGTGTAAACGGCAAATGAATTTTCATTGTAAACAGACGTGTTACGGCAAATTGAGCAGCTTAAACAAATTTCCGTTGTCTTGGTCGTTGCGCTTGGACAAATCTCCAGAGTCAACGCATTGGGGAGCATCCGCATCCTGTTGCGGGGCAAATTTATTGGCTTCCTGCTCCGCTTGTCACTTGAACGGCAGAGTGGCAAACATGTTTTCTATCCTAATTGGTCCTTGGGGCAGCAACAACGTGCTACGTGCTACGTGCTACGTGCACCGCCGGCCGGACCCTTGCCTATATATAGATTATATCACTTTACGCTATGCTTAACCCATTTTGTAGTTTCCTGGAAGCCATTGCAGATCATTTGTAGACCACGGTGTGCCAGGAGCGAGCGGGCAGACGCAAATTAAATGCACCGCGTTGACTGTCATTGAGCGCCACATTAACGGGCAAGTTTTCGCTGTAAGAATGAAAAGTATCTTTGAGATACATTCATAAAATGCAGTAAATGCTGTCTAGCTCTAGCTCGAGTGTCTTCGAGTGTTATGCACAATTAAGAGGCAGCCACTTTAGCGCAGATGCCGCCAAAAATAGCAGCAACATCTGCAGGACGTGCAGACACTTGAGTGTTAGACAAGACGCGTGCCACATACCCATTATACAAGATCAGCGCCACGCTGCCATCCGGCCTTTGAAAGCCCACCGCGCTCAGCTGGGCAAAGGACTCGGTTTCGTTGGTTCTCGCCTCGATCCGCACGGATTGCTCCGGTAGAAACTTGCTAAAATGCCCGATGGCATAGTACATGGGCTGCTTGTAGAATTCGGTGCGACTGGTTGTATTCACAATCACCGGAGCATCCACATAATTGTGCACATAGTTTGGACCGCCCTGCTCGTCTAGCACCAGATTCCAGTCTAGCCAGCCGTTGAAATTGTGCAGCAAGTCCTGTATATAGGCACGCATATAGCTCTCGCCACGCCCCCAGTTGCCCAGCTCTGGGCCGTGCGTCTGCCACGGTTTGTCGCCGATGCAAGATTCCGTATTTAATAACAATTTATTTGGCATCTCTGTATGGGCGTCATCTATAAGCTTTGGTCCAAAGATCTCATCCCAATACCAATGCACTGCCAGGCCATCAAGATAGTCGAGGGCATTCGAGCGAGAGGCGCGCATCTATTTGTGAGAGATTATTAAGTTTAAATTATTTATGTTCACCAAGTGTGTGGCTAAGGCAGCTGCTACTCAATCTAGATGCTATGCTATAATTACGCATTTCGTGATCAAATTATGCTGTAAGCACATTTCGCTATGCTATAAAACTACAGTTCCCACGAACTTCCATCCAATAATATTAGAAAACATATTACAGGATCAGAATCCAACGTGGGTAGATTCAACGAACCTTTCTATATGTGTTCCAAATTCTAACCTAACTCTATCACAGTTTTATCTGTTAACTTACCTTGCGAAACCAGGAGGGATACGTATAACGCTGATCATCGTTGCCAAATATGAGCACATGACTCTGGTTGGACTTCTTGATGGTCGGTCCCAGATAATCGCCGAGCCAAATCGCCTATTAAGTAAAATCTACTGTATAAATGCTTATAATTTTGAATTGCAGTG